CCCCCCCCCAGCCTGCTCCCTTGTAGCCCCCTCCCAGCTCACGGAACTCCGCACATTTGGCACCACTCTAAAACCTAAAGCATAGGTTCCCAAAGGGGGGGTGTGTGTGTGAAGAAATTCCAGGGGGGCGTGAGACGACCCAGTCTCTTCCCCCTCCTCCCCCCAAGAAAGAGCCTGGTCTGTCCATCTGCTCAGGCTGGCTGTGGCAGACTTCAAAATGGCCACCTTAAAAGGGCAATGCCTGCTCTGCCTTTAAAAGGCCACTTTTTTTACTTGAGTTTTGCTGCTATTGGGGGGGGGGGGGGGTGAGGGTTTCTCAAATCAAAAAGGAGGCATAATGCCAAAAAGTTCAGGAACCACTGGCCTAGAGGGTTCCACAAAATCTACTGTCCTGAGCCACCAGAAGAGTTAATCCAGCCCTCAGAGTAAGCCCTGAGCCTTGTCACCTGGTGCCTGCTCACTGTGGGGTTGGAGCCTAAAGATAATGAGTTGAGTGTCTTTCTGCTTCTTAGTTGGGGGCCACATCTCTCATTTCTCCCCCCCCCTCCCCTTCTCACTTGGGGCCCAGGTCAATGAGGTGGAGGGAGGGGTTTAACTCAGGGGTGGGCAAGAGAGCCTCCGTTGGCCAGATCTAGCCTGCCATGCCAACTGATTTGGCCCACGGCCGCCCCTCTACCCCCAGGCCAATCCATACCTGGGACATGTGAAGTCTCCTCCCACCAGCAGGAAGCGGCACTAGAGTGAACTGCCGGCTGATTTGAACAGCTGGCAGTTCATTCTAGGCACAATGTACCCCTTGCAGGGTGGGGACAGGGGGCAAAGACTTCACATGTTCTCCCACCCCCAGGCCCTAACTGGCCTGAAGACAGAGCAGAGCACATTAAGTCTCCTTCTGCTACTAGGGGTGTGCAGCGCCTAGAGGGAACCGCCAGCTGTTCAAAACAGCTGGCAGTTCTCTCTAGGTGCTGGGGGAGGGTCAAAGACTTCATGTACACCTCTCGCCCTCAAGCCAATCAGGATGTGTGGGTGGGGGAGCACAGGAAGAGTCCTGGCCCTGCCCCTTCTGGGGCAGCCCAGAGCCACTTCAAAAATGTGTGAAGTAGCCCCCCTTCTAAAATTATTTCCCACCCCTGGTTTAGCTTCTCGCTTGTGTGTGGCCCTCAACTGACTTTTCTTCTGTGGGTCAGTGGTCCCTATCCCAAAAACGGTTCTCCATTGCTGCAGTAGGCCTACAAGACCATGCTCTATCACAAGGAGGTGTGCTTGATGGCATCTCCCTATCAGTTTTCCAAAGTATTCATTAGCTAACAGATTAACACTGAGCTATGACTCTTGATTTATCATACTCTAAGTCCTTAACATACCTGATTATTTTGATTAGTTCGCTCATGTTGACATGATCTGGTACCAGGAACTTCGTTTTATCCAGAACTGGAAGCTGCTTCTCCCCCTTGTACCTTTCAATAATCACCTGGAAGGAAACAATTAAACTCTGAAATAGCAGTTATAAGGCAGTGCAGGGGCTTTTCTTGACTTACTTGGTTTATTACTAAACGTTCAAGAACAGAACCTACTGAACTGTGTCAGTAAGTAGCTATTTTACTTTAGGAGTTGCAGTTCCACCATTGTCTAGTTACAGATATGTATGTTTCTGTTCAGTCCTTTCTACTCGGTTAACAAGTTTAAACGGGGGTCTTCTTATAAACTATTAGTATTTTTCTTGCCTAGTGGCAGAGGGAATCTTTGTTCAATTAGAAAGAACAGAACTAGTTTGGCTATAGAGAAATCAATTCAGCCCAGGAATAGAGTCAGAGATGCAAGTCATTTCAGTTTTCATTTTGTTTTAAGTGGTGAACCAGCCCTGTTGTATAACAGTCTTCTCACACTTCACTAGAAAGTAGCCCAGAACAGTGGAAAGTTTTTTTTTCTGACTTGTTTTTTTTAATCAGATGCTATAGTCAGTGGAAATTCCTTTACAACGTATCAGTTTTCAGCATTGGGAAACATCTGAGAGCAAAAACCTCAAATTAGGGGGATAACCCTGATTAAATTACTGCTGTTGTATTCAGAGAAACAAGGTGTCTCCCACACTTTATTAACATCCTCTAAATATAGTTTTACACCAAGACACGAAAGAAAGGTAATCATCATGCAAAGAATGATGATTCAGAAAAATTAACAATATGGTATCTCTCTTGGAATAGCTTCCTTTTCATTTTACACTAGGATAGCTTTGTTTTGCTTTGCAATTGCAAAGGCATGATCCAGGCTGCCCATGCAGGATAGGTGAAGGGGGCGGGGCAGGTACTGGGATGGGGCTAATATTGGGGGCTAGAACTGGGGGAGGTTGGGTGCAGTGGGGCTCTGGAAACAGGAGGCTGGTACTGAGGGGTCTGGTGGTAGAAGGCTCTAAGGGGCAGGAGACTGACACTGAGGGGCTCAAAAGGAGACTGGCATTGCAGGTGTTGGGTGCAGGGGCTTCTGGGGTCAGTGGCTGGTGCTGGGGTTCATAGAGGGTTTGGGGGCTCAAAGGATTAGGGCTGGCACTGGGGGCAGGGATTTTGGCAGAACGATAATGTTTTATTTGTATATCCATTATTTGCATAATGAATATGCAAATATAATGTTACAGGTCCACCAAAAGTTTGTGAATGGGTTTGCTGGTCCCCTGTATCAAAAAGGTTGGGAACCACTGGTATAGATGAAACAAGTGAGTTGAGGAACAAGAGTCAGTCTTTCAGAAGAACCACTCCCACCAGACATCTGAGGTCTCCAGAAAAAGAGCCTCTATCTAAGGTAGCAGAGGCACATTTTTGCTGTATGAACCCTTATGTCTCAGAGGGGTAAGCCATGTTAGTTTGTAACAAAAAAAAACAAAGTAGTCCTGTAGCACCTGAGAGACCAACAAAAAACATATATATAGTATCATGAGCCTCTATGGGCAAACCCACTTCCTCAGATGAGCCGAGGAAGTAGGTTTTGCCCACGAAAGCTCATGATACTATATATATGTTTTTGTTAGTCTCTCAGGTGCTACAGGACTACTGGTTTTATAATCCCTAGATGTAATTCAAACAACAGTTATATTTTGCTCTTGTGAGTAACACTCTTGACAGGAGTTACTGAGCACTCTTGTATTAGAAAGACACTTGCTCAGTTTCTGCATTCAGGGAGTTGCACCTAGAGCTGTCACTGGCCCAAATCTGAAGTGTTCTGTTACAAGTAGCTTTACACCATATAAACATACAAGAAGCCCATGTCACCTGATTAGCAGCTGAACCAGCTAACATGTTTGACAATCAATGACTATCTGAGGATTATTTCCTCAAGACCAGGTCACCCCGAAAGGACAATCTTTTATTCCTACAGGAATCCTGTGTGTCTGATACATTCTGGCCTTTACTTGCCTTTCTTGTCATGGAAAGGAAGAATTAAAAACTCTACTTACTGGTATTTTTGTTGGATGCTGATCTCGAATCAGTCGCACATCTTCTACTCTTTGCTCTGGGGGAGGAAAAACAATTGCCTATCTAAATGCCCAGATACACATCACATTGGTTTTGTTTTAAGCCTCAAGGATACAAGGTATGCTATTTCTTCAGGCTCTTACTTGTTAGCAGATTTTCTGCTACTGGAAGAAGTGAGAAAGTAGTTACTAAAAGAATAAACAACCAGTTCAGAGTAGGCAATTGTCTAAAACAAAGCAGTGATACATACTGACTCTTCAATCAGGGTTAACAATTCTATTCTATTCTGTGACCAGCAAGAGGACTACTAAAGTAATTTTGGTTGAGAACTCTAAACTATGTTAATGCAGAATGAGAGGCCCAATGAAGCAACATTTAATCATGTGAATTTGCTGCAGCAAGTCATGTTGTACATTTATACCATATTCCTGTTTTGGAAATTTAACATGATATTATTCTTGGTTTAATCTTGTGTTCCTGAAAAGGGAGTTGCTGGCTGGAGTGGTATGTTTCAGGTAGTCCTAGCTCTTAGATTAACACCAGCTTACACTGTATATTCTAATAAAATGTACATTCATGGCATATCTAATAAAAATGTAACTAATACTACCACATTTTTATTAATTGCATATCACCACCCATACTGATGGTGCTGTTCTGTAAATGCTGGTTTGTTCAGTATTTATCCATGCCGGTTTGTAAGACAAGTCTCATTACCTTTTAAAGGGAGGTATTATTAGCACAGATATAACACAGAGAGCCAATACAGAAGTCAAACCTTGTGTAAAATGATGCAACTACTCTAAAGTCAGTCATGCTTGCTTACACCAACCCTGAATTTGGATTTGCTGTGAACTCAGACTTTACCTCCAGTTCTCTCTGCTTATGGGCCATGTCCCTCTATAAATACCTCCTGGAGGAGAAAAAAAAAAAGACTGTATGCTAAAGCACAGCCTAGATGTATTAGCAGCCTCTTGTAGTAAGAACAGATCTTCAGAGCTGTTGCTAATGGCTCCTCTTCTCCTATCAACCCAGTCCAGTAACTTTTATTCTAAGATAAAAACAGGTTACCTGGCCTGTCATTCTGCTTTTCACAACTGCCCTTTCATTACTGCTAAGACCTCATACATCCACCAATTATATACAAGCTTTCTACATAATTAATAATGACATGTAGCACATGTGATTCATGATTTTCAAATCAAATTTAGTCTCAAACAAGAAATAAGCAAAGCTAAAGCTTGTAAAGATGAGCTCTTCAGTGATGTGTAGGAATTTATGATTTCCCAAAACTTAAGATCTTTAAACCAACTTCCTTTTACTCAAATCCCTAAGTACCCAAATTAACTTCCAGTCAATAGACCAGCACCACTTCATAGGGAAGAGTTCCAGATATTCTAATGCAACCCTCAGTCCTTAGGGTCTACCATCACCATGTTTGAGGACAGAAGTATGCCATTTAGCAATATCAAGTCTTAAATTTACCAGAAATAGCAGAGTTACAGGGAGGAGGTAAAGAGAGAGGGAACAGTAATCCTCAACCAAGCAATGAAACTTGGTTTTAGTAGCTTTCCTATTAGGTATATAAAATCCTATTTCAAAGTTTAACCGGTTGAACAATATATTTAACCAGCCACTGGCACAGTAGGCCCAGCTGGTTGGAGCAGCCCCCTGCCTACAGCCCAGCCAGCCACCGGTTAACAGTTACCCCAGTAAGCATGCCAGTAAGGCAATGTTTACCAGATAACCAGCTACCCATTTACATCCCTATTCTCTACTGAAATAGAGGAGTTTTCATATGGGAATTCTGTCCGGTTCTAATGCTATTAGCATGGACTAGAAGCAGCACAAAATGGGAGCCAGACTAATCTGAGATTTGTGTGTTCAAAATCAGGTCTGTCGGTTGCAGATAAAAGCTGTACTCTGACCGCATTAGTTGTAGTGGCAAGTAATTGGCTGCCATCCTATCTGAACTGAATATCTGGGACTAAGGCTGTTGATAGGAATAAGGGGGAAGAAGGGCTTTTGGAGGGAAGTTACTGATATTTGAGGTTCCAGGAGAAAGGGCAGATTATATTGGTAAGATCTGCCCGAGATCTCGTACTCTAGCTCAGGCCTGGGCAAAATACAGCTGGAGCCTGGGGAAGGGGGCAGAGGCTTCACAAGATTCCCCCTTCCCACAGAACAATCCCATTGGACGGTTTCTAGTCAATAGGAGCTGCCCGAAATGCACCCTCCCTCACCCCTCCTAGCTATTCAAAGACCACATGCTCCCTTCAGCCAGTATGAGGGCAGGGTAGGCAGGGAGTCTGCCTGAGACTTCTGGCCAGGAGTCAGGCAGGTAAGTCTCCTGGCCAGACCATGCCTCTGGCACCCCTGCCCTCTGCCCCACATAACCCAAACCCTCTGACCTGTTCCTGCCCCCAGATCCCCTCCCAGATCCTGCACCCCATCCTCTGCTCCAGGTCACAACCCAAATTCCTGTACCCCAGACCACTGCCGAAGATTACAAGCCAAACCCCTACATTTCCCAGCCCCCCCCCCCCCCACACACACACACTTTAGTCCCCAGGCCAACTTCTGCACCCAGTCTCCATCCCAGACCTCACACTTCCTCCATTAATATAATGGAAGAGTGTGGGCCTCGACCACTTTTCAAAAGTGGAGTGGCCCCCCATCAAAAATTACAGCCCACCCCTGCTCTAGCTAGTGCCTGTGTTGTGAGTGATGTGAGAGTGGGGATGAGTAAAGGCTATTGAGTGTAGTTTGTGCCAACCCAGAGACTGGAGGTGCAGAAGCAGGAGAGTATGGATCAATTACTTCCATCAATTTCATTTTACATAGAAAACTTTGCACTTCAAGTGGAACAGGCTGTGCTACCTATTCTTGTTTAAATAAATGGAGGCTCTATGAACAATAAAAAGATAAGAACATAAGTATGGCCAGACTGAGTCAGACCAAAAGGTCCATCTAACCCAGTATCCTGTCTCCAAATCATAGCCAATGCCAGATGCCTCAGAGGGAGGGAACACAACAGGTAATTGATTAAGTGATCCCTCTTCTGCCATCCATTTCCAACCACTGACAAACAGAGGCTAGGGACACCATTCCTGACCATCCTGACTAACAACCATTGATAGACCTAACCTCCGTGAATTTATCTAGTTCTTTTTTGAATCCTGTTAATGTTCTGATTTTCACAACATCCTCTGCCAAGGAGATCCAGAGTAAAGATTGTGCATTGAGTAAAGAAAAACTTACTTTTGTTTTAAACCTGCTACCTATTAATTTCATTTGGTGACTCCTAGTTCTTATGGTAACAAGTAAATAACTTTTCCTTATTCACTTTTGCCAGATGTGTCATGATTTTTACAGACCTCAGTCACATCCCCCCTTGGTCTCCTCTTTTTTTAAGTTGAAAAGTCCTAGTCTTTTTAATCTCTCTTCATATGGGACCCATTCCAAACCCCTAATTATTTTTGTTGCCCTTTTCTGAACCTTTTCCAATGTCAATATAATCTTTTTTGAAATGAGGCAACTACATCTGTATGCAGTATTCAAGATGTGGGAGTACCATGGATTTATATAGAGGCAATAAGATATTCTCTGTCTTATTCTCTATCCCTTTTTAATGATTCCTAACATTCTATTTGCTTTTTGACTTGCTGCACATTGAGTGGATGTTTTCAGAGAACTATTCACAAGGACTCCAAGATCTCTCCCTTGAATAGGTATAGCTAAATTAGCCCACACCATTTTGTATGTATAGTTGGGATTATTTTTTCCAATATGCATTACTTTACATTTCTCAACATTAAATTTTATTTGCTATTTTGTTGCCCGATCACTTAGTTTGGTAAGATCTTTCTGAAGCTCTTTAGTGTCTGTTTTGGTCTAACTATCTTGAGCAGTTTAGTATCATCTGCAAATTTTGCCATCTCACTGTTTATCCCTTTCTCCAGATCGTTTATAAATAGGTTGAACAGTATTGGTCCCAGTACAGACCTTTGATGGCATTCCAGCCCTCCTCACTGATCAATATATGAACAGACTGCAGAATGCAGCCCTTCCATCTTTTTGGCTCTATCTTAACCAGGAAGTGTGTTAGCACCATTCTAGTTAACTGTTTTAAACCTGTGCTTACTGAAAGGGACTATAATCTGGTTTCCACAGCCAACATTAAATAGTATATTTTATGCTCAGTGGCCTTTGAAGAACTAAGCAGAGATGCAAGGAATGCATTTTAGTCTGCTTACAAATTCTTAGGTGGGGAATTATTTCCATGTTAGAGTCAAAACTCAGTAGCATTTAATTCTCATGTTGACAGAACATCAGAAATTGGATGCCAAATTGTGATAGCAAGGGGTTATATGCCTAACTCCGTAAGGGACAGGCTCCTGGAAGTTCTGCAGGATTATATGGACATGCACCATCATCGGCCAAAGTATCTAATTCTGCAGTGCATTTCATCCTTTTGGTGCAAGTTAACACCACCATGCCACAAAACCCCTCTAACAAACAACTTTCAGGGTCTCTGTCCACTTGAAAGTGTGGTCCCATTGCTGCCTTGCTTGCCAGCCCACAGGCAGGTTTCCCTGCCCGTTGATGTGGAACAAGTACCACTTTGCAGCTCATACAAAATGAAAACAAACCACCCTCCGACCTTTACTTTCATTTTCTGCAGTGTGGCAGGAAGTCTGTTCCCCTCCAGCAGGCAGGAAAACCAGTTTAGACAGCAGTCGAACAACAACACAAAGGCTCTCCTCGTGTCCTGGCTTCCATAAAGAGAGGCAGGGGCAGGTCCAAGGCAGAACAAGTACCACTTTGCAGCTCATACAAAATGAAAACAAACCACCCTCCGACCTTTACTTTCATTTTCTGCAGTGTGGCAGGAAGTCTGTTCCCCTCCAGCAGGCAGGAAAACCAGTTTAGACAGCAGTCGAACAACAACACAAAGGCTCTCCTCGTGTCCTGGCTTCCATAAAGAGAGGCAGGGGCAGGTCCAAGGCAAGCCTCCCAGGCCGACTGCAGTGCCAC